AAAATAAAATAAAAAAATAAAATAAAATAAAACAAAAAAGACCTAAATGTAACAATGTAGGAAGTTCACAAAAAGTATTAGCATTTTTAAAAGTCAAGATAATGATCAAAACAAATTTTGGGGTTTTTAAACTTTTAGCACAACAGCTAACACCAATGGACAAATGTACCTTTAGCCACTTATTATAGGACACTTGAGTAAAAGAGAGGGTTGCATGAGTTAAAATCAACACCTAAAATAAACACATCTTAGGGAACCTCCAGCACCAATAAATATGCGTCTTAGCTACCCAACACCATGGGTACACCACTGCCATGATAACTGAGCGTTTCACTAAATGAAAAGAAAACATGCCTTTCCCCCTCGTCCTTCCTCCAACCTCTAATGACTGAATAGAGGATCTGTTGCGCCATCTTCCTTGTCATCTCTGCACTGATAACGACAGTAGACATGGATTCACTGGCCTGAATGGACAAGAGTCATCGTGTCCAGAAATAGCGAATGAATGTAAAGGCGTGTTTCAGAGAGCCGCTGATCAAAGAGAGGCGATGTGTGAATGCATGATGGATGCTAATGTTGTCTTTTATGTTAATGCACCCTGTGAAGCAATCGCTATAACATTTATACCCCCATCCATCCACCCTAAAACAGCACTCTCTCCTCCTTGGGTTTTTCACATCTATAATGCATCCGGTGTAATGGAAGAATCTTTAATTCATCATATTGAGAATGGCAGATGACTCACAGTTTCTTTAATCTTATCTTTCTGTCCACACATACACAATCATTCACACAGCGAGCACACTGTTTGTTTGAAACTCAATCATGCCGAGTGTCTTTGCTGTTCATTTAAACAGTGTTGACAACCTGTGTTGCGTTCATGCTAAAGGCAGGTCGCTTTCTTGCTAAAAGCTGCTAAATGACATTGTGATGTAATTGTGTTACAGAGAATAAAGGGATAGTTCACCCGAAAATCATCCATGCACAAATCAAACAGTTTCTTTGTTGTGATGACCACAAAAGAATATTGGAAATCTTTCTATCATTCTTCAAAGTATCTTCTTTTGTGTTCAAGAGAAGAAAAAAAACTAATACTGTCTCTTTAAAAAATGTGCATGGAGTATACAGTTAGATTACGAAAATAGCTCTTGGCTAAAATATGCTTAAAATGTACTGTATTATCTTAGATTTTTCTCTTAAAGGGCCATGACACCCCCCACTTTCAGTTCAAGTCTACCTCAGAATTTTTTCAGAAGATGCATCATAATGGGCGTGGAGCTTCATGATCAGAGGCAGGAGTGGGCGTGGCCAGCAGAGCAGAGGAAAAGGAGGGGAGCGAACAATTGTTGTCAGTCGGCTCACAAAATGAGACACAAACCGTGAGGAGACGCATGATTTTATAGTTAACAAAGTTAAAATGCAAAGAAACAAACAGTGATTTAATGCCCTGCTACATTTGTTATTCGTAATTAATATTCAGACAACTACAATTTCTATCATTATAAAAATAATCGAGCGTGCGTCATTACTGCCGAAATATTGGTACAGTGCTCCCAGGACGCAAGTCATTCAACAATGTATGAACATTGAGATGCAGGGATATCAATAGTTCACATGAATCATTCATAATGGAGATTCATTAACGAATGAATCACTCCCTCTGTAAGTGAAAGGGGGTGTGTTTTAGGACATATGGGTTAGACAAAATTTAACAGGAAGGGAGGATAATACATTTGCATGCTCATAAACACAAAGCTCCTCGTAGGCAATAAAATGAAATGCAACATAATATTATTCTATATAATATAATATAATATAATATAATATAATATAATATAATATAATATAATATAATATAATATAATATAATATAGGCGAGGCAGTGGCGCAGTAGGTAGTGCTGTTGCCTCACAGCAAGAAGGTCGCTGGTTCGAACCTTGGCTCAGTTGGAGTTTCTGTGTGGAGTTTGCATGTTCTCCCTGCCTTCGCGTGGGTTTCCTCCGGGTGCTCCGGTTTCCCCCACAGTCCAAAGACATGCGGTACAGGTAAATTGGGTAGGCTAAATTGTCCATAGTGTATGAGTCTGTGTGTGAATGTGTGTGTGGATGTTTCCCAGAGATGGGTTGTGGCTGGAAGGGCATCCGCTGCGTAAAAACTTGCTGGATAAGTTGGCGGTTCATTCCGCTGTGGGGACCCATGATTAATAAAGGGACTAAGCCAACAAGAAAATGATTGAATGAATAATATAATATAATATAATATAATATAATATAATATAATATAATATAATATAATATAATATAATGTAATATAATATAATATATACAACATTCTGTCTCGTTCTTGAATCTGATTGGCTGATAGCTGTGCGATATTCTGCAATATTAGAACTCGTACAGCCTCTTCACCCTACTCCGCCCACACAGAGTGATAACAGACCAATCAACTTACTACAGTTTTACAAATATTGCAGCTGTTGGACAACATGATGTGCTTTTGAGGCTTTTTACTCGAGAATGTAGTTGTTTAGGTTGCAACTATGCAGTTTATTTATAAAGGTAGTGCCTGTTTAAAATATTTATAATTTCTGAGAGACAGCGTGTCGGCATCCATCAGCCTGTCATTGAGAAGAGCCGAATGAAAGACAGCTGAAGTTGTCCATCCATAAGATGGTGACAGTGACCGCATAATAAGCCCTTAGAGGAGAAAAGATCAGTATATTTTCAAACTACAGCTGATCAAATCATTATAAAACAGGTAAGTGACTTTCTAAGTCCACCTCTTTCTTTTGAATGTTTCAGTGCTGTATTTATACCACATAATTGAAAGTGTTTTGAGGGTGAGATGGGACTTGCATATCAGGAATGTGTGTATTTTGTGTTGGTCACTCGTTATATAACTCTGAGTTACTTTTGGTTGGCCATCTGTTTGTTTCTGAGTCATTTGTTTTCATTACTGCAGACTAATTCACAAAAAGGAAAGAAGAAATGCCCGCATGTGTTGAGCCTTTTTCCTTTTCCGAAACAACAGCTATCTGGTAGTGTTGCCTTTGCTTTGGCTTTTTCTAGGTTAATTATTGTGATCTTCCGATTGCAACAGAGAAATACTGGGAAATCTCTGTAGACTGATGGCACTTCGTGCGGTTCAGCCTTATAATCTTAAAATGTAAGCAAAATCGCCTGTTTTGTTATCACTTTAGACATTACTCTAGGGAATCATTCAAATACTAGCTCTAAAGTGACGTTAGTGAATTAACAATGGTTCCTGCTGTTCTGACAACAGCTGCATTTGTGAAGGATTATGCCCAGTATCACACTTGTATCAGTGCAATATGGCTGTATATTGTGAGTGGTGGGACACAAAGCACACCTCCCACCAGTGATAGCCAGTACGCCACTGCACCTTGGTCCCACATTCATTTAAAAAATGTTGAAGTCAGAATTATTAGCCTCCAATTTAATTTTGTTTTCTTTTTTAAATACTTCCCAAATGATGTTAAACAGAGCAAGGAAGTTTTCACAGCACAGTATGTCTGATAATATTTTTTTTTTTCTCGGGAATGTCTTATTTGCTTTATTTCAGCCAGAATAAAATCAGTTTTTAAATTTTTTTAAAAACATTTTAAGGTCAAAATTATTAGCCCCTTTAGGCTATTTTATTTCGATAGTCTAACGAACAAACCATCGTTATACAATAACTTCCTACTACTGTAACCTGCTTAGTTAAACTTATTAATCTAGTTAAGCCTTTAAATGTTTAAGCTGTATAGAAGTGTCTTTAAAAATATCTAGTCAAATATTATGTGCTGTCACCATGTGTGTGTGTGTGTGTGTGTGTGTGTGTGTGTGTGTGTGTGTGTGTGAGTGTGTGAGTGTGTATACACGCACACAACATTTTACTCTGACACTTTAGAGTCAAGATTTTGTGAATCTCTTTTTATGACTCCATAATTTGCAAAATAATGCAAAGAACCTGGACAAAGTAAATTTTTTTTCAAATTATTTGTAGAAAAAAATGTATTTCTGTGTAAAAATGTTGTGGATTACAATCTTCAGAGCCATTGGGCCTCAGAATATAATATACTGTCAGTACTTTTATATGCTTTTTATACAGTTTCTATTCTAATTTCTAAGTGCAATTAAAGTGATTTATAAATAAACAAATAAACAAATAAACTGAATTGCAAAGTGAAAGTATAAATAGCAAAAGTGAACAAATAGATTTTTCCTACCAGCAAATATTCATCTAAGCAAAAGAAACCGACACCAAATATAAATATACAGACACTTACACACTATAATGCCATCATCAGTGAATAAATTGCTGAGGAATATCCACAAGATAGATGCAAACATTGACAAATTGTACCTCTGACAGGCGCATGACGGTTTTAATGACTTGAAACTATCAATTGGCATCGATATTATGAACAAAGAATACTATAGAAGTCAATGGCTGTCTTTTTTACCTTCTCTATATCTCCATCTATATCTATCTGTGTTGTGTTTGTCAACAGAAGAAAGAAACTCATGTGGAGGATGAATAAATACTAACAGAATGTTGACTTTTGTGTGAACTGTCACTTTAAAAGTAAGTATTGTTGATGTACCTGGAGGAGGTGCTGCCCTCTGTTGGGTTTGAGTCGCCACTGCAGTGTCCAGACCCAGTTTCCTCTTGGCCTCTACGACTGGATTCTCAAACTGGGTTCTCTGGTTAATATGACTGAAGAAAGAAAGATTATACTGTAATGTTCATTTAGAAACAGAGCACACATGCAGATACGATCATACCATTACACTTACTCTACATAATATGTGCCGTACTGCGGGTCATCAATCTCCTCCCATCCGTATGGAAGCTCTGATGATCCGGGAATGAGAGGATTGAGATTAAATGCAAATCCACAAACACATACACAGACGCTTCTAGCTGATGCAACATCATTAACAACAGCGAGCTGCATTTCATAAGACATCACTTTTTTTATCTTTCCGATGTAAACAAACTTTGCTTTCAGAAGATACTTAGCTTTCCAGAAAGAACAAGGTCGGAGAATTTGTAAAAAGAAGTCTTACTCAATATTTTGACCAAGTAAAATTTGATTGTGTGTATCATTTATTGTATATGGTGCATGTTTTATTGAAGGGCGATACTGTGACGGAATAGGTAGTATTGTTGCCTCAAAGCAAGAATATCGCTTGTGAATGAGAGTGTAGGCGTGTCCCCAGAGATGGGTTACAGCTGGAAGGGCATCCGCTGTGTAAAACATATGTTGGATAAGTTGGCGGTTCATTCCGCTGTGGCAATGTCAGATTAATAAAGGGACTAAGCCAAAAAGTAAATGAATATATGAATGAATGAATATTTTGATTAACTGTTTTAATTATTATTATTATTATTATTATTTTATTTTTTTTATTATTATTATTATTTTAAATTATTTTACTTTATGACATTTTTTTGGTTATCATTTGTATAAACATTTTTACAGATTGTATAAATGTTTTTTTGTGCTTAAAAAACTGTTATAAATTAAAAATGAAAATAAAAGAAGAAGGTTTACTAGCTAACTGGTTAATATAAAATAAGCAAGGTAGAGTGAGTAAAATGTGAGTTTCTATTTGGTGCAGAAATTTGTTTTGTAGCAGAAAAAAGGGAAAATTAAATTTATATTAAAAACAAATTACTAATTTGTAATGTTCAGATTAAGCAATGCATGGAAATAATTACTTAATTATGTAAAGTACATACAGTTTTTGAAAAAAAAAAATATATATATATATATATATATATATATATATATATATATATATATATATATATATATATATATATATATATATATATATATATATATAGACAGACAGACAGACAGACAGACAGACAGACAGACAGACAGACAGACAGACAGACAGACAGACAGACAGACAGACAGACAGAGAGATAGATAGATAGATAGATAGATAGATAGATAGATAGATAGATAGATAGATAGATAGATAGATAGATAGATAGATAGATAGATAGATAGATAGATAGATAGATAGATAGATAGAGATACACACACACACACACACACACACACACACACACACACACATTCATTTTAGCTTAGTCCCTTTATTTATCAGGGGCTGCCACAGCAGAATGAACCGCCAACTTATCCAGCATAAGTTTTATGTAGCGGATGCCCTTTAAATTTAGCTTATTCAATTCACCTTTAGCGCATATTTTTGGACTGTGGGGGAAACCGGAGCACCTGGAGGAAACCCATACCAACATGGGGAGAACATGCAAACTCCACACAGAAATGCGCCAACTGACCCAGCCGAGGCTCGAACCAGCGACCTTCTTACTGTGAGGCGATCGTGCATAAAGATACATACAGCATACCGCATACAACATAAATGAGTGAATATAGACAATATATTTTGATGCATCGAAACAAAAGAGTCTAATTAAAAAGTTATATTCATTCAAATAAGAGAGAGTTTGTCATCTTTAACATCTTTAGGAACAGAAAGAACTACAAACTATAATATAATATAATATAATATAATATAATATAATATAATATAATATAATATAATATAATATAATATAATATAATATAATATAATATAATATAATATAATAGTTCTCCCTGCATTCGTGTGGGTTTCCTCCGGGGGCACCGGTGTCCCCCACAGTTCAAAGACATGCAATGCAGGCGAATTGGGTAGGCTAAATTGTCCGTAGTGTATGAGTGTGAATGAGTGTGTATGGATTTTTCCCAGAGATGGGTAGCAGCTGGAAGGGCATCCGCTGCGTAAAAACGTGCTGGATAAGTTGGTGATTCATTCCACTGTGGCGACCCTGGATTAATAAAGGGACTAAGCCGAAAAGAAAATGAATGAATGACAAAATAAAATAAAAATAAAAATGTATAAAATTAAATTAAGTTAAATTAAATTAAACAATTTACTGTCATACAAAATAATTACATATAATGAAATATATTCTGTAATAATATCCAGAAAAAAAAACATTAAAATGGAATATCATCCAAAATAATATGTATTATATATTAATTTAAAAGAGAGAGTTGTAGGGGGAGTACCCATTCATGCTGCGCATATAAAGTAGAATAAAACAAAATTAAAAAAATAAATTAAACTTTCATAATGTAAAGTGATACAAAATAATAAAACTATTATTATAAATTTTACAAATAAATAATTTTGCACTCAAAAAATACACACTGCTGTGTGTGTGTGTTTGTGTGTGTGTTTGTGTGTGTGTGTGTGTGTGTGTGTGTGTGTGTGTGTGTGTGTGTGTGTGTGTGTGTGTGTGTGTGTGTGTCCTTTCTCCTGTACGTACATTATGCCCAAATACACTAATGAGGAGAAAAAAATAAGTTGTTCACGCACTAGAGAGCTTCACACACACACACACACCAGTGAGCAAACAGCACAGGACATCAAAACTCCCTAAAAGGAGCGTCTACATTTGATTAGATATTATGTGTGCTCATGTGTGTTCATTACAATGAAAAGCGAAGAGGAAGCGCATGCATTCAGATGAGCTTACGCAATCTTCTCTGTTCGAGTATGAATGTTGAACTGTACACACCACATACATCTGACCAAACGCAACTGAACATATACTCTCAGATGCATGTCGTATAGTTGTTTTGCATATTCAGGTATAGCGTGTGCATGCAGAGATTCACCTCCATCCTCACACTTTTCAGGAGGCTTGGCTTTTTTCACCAGACGAGGATCCAACCATGTTGTCGACTTCGTGTTGTGGCTATAAAGCAAAATAGAAAATAATATTAGATAGCAGACGTGTATTTAGACGTTAGAATTGCAGACCCCTGAACAGCCTATAATTTTGCTCGACTGTTTTGTTTTTATTTCATTAAAATCCACCGGGCTACTTCTTTCAGCTAATCAGCTTCAATGAACTGACTAATGAATGCTCGTTGACTCAGATAAGTTATATTAGAGAGATGTCATCTTAAAATCTATGCTAACATTATTGCTAAGGATTAATTAATTAGTTGATTCATCCAATGTTAGTGCTTTTTGATAAAGATGCTGTAATTTAGGTTTTATGGTCATTGCACTGACCTCAGTTAACTAAAAGTAAAAATGCAGTAAGAAAGTAAATGGTTTTCTTTTGTTTTGAAAATAAAATAACTTAAAATGAGGATTATTTTAGCTTTGGAAATTTACAAATTTTTTATGTACTAAATCGTATATGAGCTTTGCCATGATGACAGTAAATATTATTTGACTAGATATTTTTCAAGACGCTACTATTCAGGGTAAAGTGACGTTTAAAGGGTTAACTAGGTTAATTAGGTTGACTAGGCAGGTTAGGGTAATTTGGCAAGTTATTGTATAACGTTCTGTAGAGTATTAAAAAAAAAACTTAAATGGGCTAATAATTTTGTCCTTAAATTGTTTTTTAAAAACTTAAAAACTGCTTTTATTCTAGCCGAAATAAAGCAAATAAGACTTTCTCCAGAAGAAAAAATATTATCATATATACTGTGAAAATGTCCTTGCTCTGTTAAACATCATTTTGGAAATATTTAAAAAAGAAAACAAAATAATTTTAATAATTTTGATAATTAATAACTTAATAACCCTGACTTCAACTGTATATAGAAAATAGAACAGAATATATAGAATAGAATAGGAAATATAAAAAATATAGAAAAGCAGAATATATGTTTCAAATTTAAAAATACATAAAACAAAAACGAAATGCAAAACAAAATATAATAAAATAAAGAAAATTTATATCCGTGATCTTATTTTATTTCCCCAAGTGACCAATGAAATATCGAATTCTATTGTGTTAAATTTAATGTCCTAAAATAATTTATTTTTTATTTATAATTATTTATTTATTTTATAATTTTTATTTTTTATTTAATTTATTATTTTTTTAAATGTCCTAGAATATCCAAAAAGAAAAAAAAGAAAAAGGATTGAAAAATTATATTTACACATTTTAAAGAGCCCATATTATGGGTTTTTGAAAATTCCCCTCCATGTAGTGTGTAACACAGCTCTAAGTGAAGTGAAGTATCCAGCTAAGGCTTAAATCTGTAAGAATACAGTGTTTAAAACGGTTGATTCATCTATAAAAGAGTCGACTCATAGTGCTTCAAACGAGTCGCCTTGATCACGATTCATTAGGTGTTTCGCTATGACGTACGAACGAAACCAAGTTATTCACGTGCACGCGCAAACCCGGGAGATTTCAAACCTGAGGCCCCGCCCTCTGACGCAGAAACCCAGACACACACACACACCCACAAACACACGCACACCCACAAACACACGCACACAAACATGCCGGTCGATTGAAGTCACACTGCAGATGGATATATTGAGTCTCTACCCAAAGATGAAACCTCAGCATTATAACCAAGCAGTTGGAAACTTCTGGAAGCTACATGCTACAAAGAATACTTCATCTGAGTTTGTTAAAGGAAGGATCAGTAAAGAGTAACTGATGGACGTCAGGATGGGTTTCTTCCATTTCTCAAGTGTAAGTACGTGCGGTTAAAGTTGTTGCCTCGTTTACTCTAGCTTGCAAATGTATTTAGTTGTGATTTGTTACTTGTAACCGCGTGTACTGTATCAGGTTAACTGGATATATTATCTTATCGCGTGCAAAGTCACGTTAAAAACGCGACGCGTGCTGTTTGTTTATGGAGCTCCGTGCTAGAGTTCTGCTCCCGCGATTTATTCGGAAATTTATTCCCGCGCCGCAGAAATCTGGCGCGGGGACAGCCGCGGGAATAAATTTCCGAATAAATCGCGGGAGCGGTCGGTAACGGGTTTAATTTGGGACGGGAGCGGGCTGTCTAGCAATATCACGGATATTGCTATGCGAATTAGAAAGAGAGAGTCTGCGTGGTGCTTGTGTGTGTGTTAGTGCGCACGCGCGCGTATGAGAGAGAGAGCGCGCGCGCGAGAGAGAGAGAGAGAGAGAGAGAGAGAGAGAGAGAGAGAGAGAGCGAACGAACGAACGAGCTCTGTGTGCTTTGTGCTGTGTGTGTGTGTTTAAATAAACAGCTTGGCTGTCTGGACTGTATACTGGGTGATTTTTGGTTGTGTTCTCCGCTCTAGCGGGACCGGGCGCGGCGGGCAGAAAACGGAGCGGGTTCTCAGGCTAAAACCTGGCGGGTGCGGGCGGAAGCGGGAGCGTTGTCATCCGGAGGTGTGTGTGTGTTTTTGTGTGTGTGTGGTATGGCGAGTACACGACTGTCTCCTTCGTTCGGTTATCCGTGGCACTATCCACTCGCCATAGTGTGGCAGCTAAAATCCACGTCTACACTATTGAGCGTGTATGAACTGTGATTACTTTTTAAATTGCTGATTAGCTATTGGCCATTTCCCTCTCTGACTGAAGGCAGTCGACCAATCGCGACAGACTGTCATCGGTCCAATCAGCGCAGATTAGCTCCGCGCTAAGGAGGGGTTTGGGAACAAATGAATCACTGAACGATTCATACGGGAGTCGCTGGGATAATTAGGAAAAAATAAATGCAGATTATAAGCCCATGAAAGTGTTTTTTGACCTTGCATGCATATTAGACTGTTGTTGGAGACCCTTACAACCAGGATATGACCCTATTTCATGTATAATATGGGCTCTTTAAATAAATGGATTAAAATAACAGCTAAATAATTTTAACTAATAACTGAGAAAAGCTGATAATATAAATATAATAAAATAAAATAATATAAAATTAAATTAAATAAAAATGTCTTGATCTTATTTTATTTCCCCTAGTAGACAATGGAATATTTAATTTCCATTGTGCTTAAGTTGATGTCCTAAAAAAACATAAAAAATAAAATGAAAAATAATTTCCAAAAATATATACGCACACATTTAATAAAAGAAGAAAACTAAAATCGAGAAGAGCAGCTTATTTAAATGCATAAAGAATGCCTCGGCAGGTCAAAAATGGGGAAGACTTTCAATGGCCTTTAGTAATGAGTCTGACAAACTGAACTGGAAAATGTTTGGAATCATAAAATATTTATGATCGCAACCCCAAACGTACACACACACACACACACACACACACACACACACACACACACACACACACACACACACACACACACACACACACACACACACACACACACACACACACGCAGAAGCTTGACTCTGTTCTTTAAAGAGCATCTAGGCCACACTGCAGGCTATATTTATTCTTTGGTTCTGACAGCTCGGTTTTTGACTTTTAAAAGCAATGCCACTCCTCCAGAGTGAGAGGAACATCAGATATCAGCGAGACGGGGAAAGTAAGTGATAAAGCATGCCGTTTGAGAAAATAGAAATTGCAATAGTACGTTGATGGAGTTTGAGATTTGACCTGAATAGAATCTGACAGCAGTGCAATGGAGGAGAAAAAAACTAAAGCGTGACGACTGCTCACAAATATTACTGACAAAACAATGCGAATATTCAGCTGCAAACTTAACAACAACAAATAAAACCTTTGTAAAAATGCACAATTTATATACAACGTGCTTGCATGCATCCCATTATTACTGTAAGTGTCTTCAGCAATAAATAAAAAGAAAATGAAACCCTCTACCGTGATACTACAGTGATATAATAAATGCAAAACAAACCACAGAAATGAACGAAAGGAAATCCTGTGGTGTTGTGTTTAGTGAACCAAATCCAATATGGAATAAAACCATTATCAAACAAGGAAAACAATATCCCGTGTCAATCCAGACAGCGATACATGAGTGAAAACCTATTTTTAAACAAACTTTAAGAGTTGAAGTAAACAAAAAGAAGTTTCTAATGGAGTTGAATTTGTCACTGAGATACTATTGTTTTTTTTCCAATAATAGTTTGACTAACTTAGTTGTTTATTCATTCATTCATTCATTCATTGTCTTGTTGGCTTAGTCCCTTTATTAATCCGGGGTCGCCACAGCGGAATGAACCGCCAACTTATCCAGCAAGTTTTTACGCAGCGGATGCCCTTCCAGCCACAACCCATCTCTGGAAAACATCCACACACACATTCACACACACACTCATACACTACGGACAATTTAGCCTTCCCAAATCACCTGGGGCCTCATGTATCAACGCTGCGTACGCACAAAAACTTTGCGTACGCCAGGTTTCACGCTCAGAATCGCTCACGTTTGGATTTACTAACAATGAACTGAACGTGGGAATGTGCGCAACTTCACGGCAGCTTTCTGGCAGGCGTACGCACATTTTTTGTGCGTGTCTGTTTTATTTCCATTGGCGACTCCTAGAGGCAGTTGTGTTAAATTGCTCTCTACAAAGTGTCTGAGCCTTGCAATGGCAGCTGTATGAGACGGGTTCAGCAGGTATATAAGGTTTCCATACCATACAGTTGACCAGCTAAACATTAAAGCACTATTTGCAGCAGTCGCCTGTTTTCCCAATGTAATCTGAGCTATCTACTGCACACACATTGCTATAAAGACACTATCTAAAGATGAATTTGCATGCGTGAATCAGTAACATTTCCATTCAATATTATTATATCTGTAAAATGTTACAGCACTCTGAACAGTCTCAGTGGCGCGCTCGTAAGACACATGTGAACATGTTTTGACACGTTCGAGCATGAACTCGGCTCGAATCCAGCGTCTGATGAACTCTTTCTTCTTTTTTCCCCGCTACATATCAGATTTTGCCTACTATTTATCACGAGAAAGACTAGTAGGAATCATTAATAAGTTTGTGCATCATATTTTATTTGCACATTTATTGAATGGAAATGTTTCTGATTCACGCTTGCAAACTCATCTTCAGATAGTGTCTTTATAGCAATGTGCGTGCAGTAGATCGCTCAGATTACATTGGGAAAACAGGCGACCGCTGCAAATTGTGCTTTAATGTTTAGCTGGTCAACTGTATGGTATGGAAATCTTACATACCTATCTGAAGATGAATTTGCATGCGTGAATCAGAAACATTTCCATTCAATAAATGTGCAAATAAAATATGATGCTTATTGATATGAACTTATTAATGATTCCTACTTGTCTTTCTCGTGATAAATAGTTGACAAAATCTGATATGTAGCGGGGGAAAAAACAAGAAAGAGTTCATCAGACGCTGGATTCGAGGCGATTTCATGCTCGAACGTATCAATTCTTGTTCACATGGGTCTTACGAGTAGCGCCACTGAGACTGTTAACCATCCTGCAACATTTTACAGATATAAACCACAATATTTCTTTTTTCAATGCACTCAGTGCGATGTTCAGACCCAACTGTGTTAACCGCATCAGCTAAACTCTCCCGCTCTATTTATTTCTTTTATTGTTAATTCCGGAGAACAAACTTGCAAATAACACCGCTTTTCTCCGGTCTACCTCTGAAAGCACCTCCAATTCACATTCTGTTCAAAGTTTCTCTTTTTGCTTGCTTTTGCCATTGCTTTTTCGTTGGGTTTTGCCATTAGCATAGTCATTAGCATATTCATACGGGGGAGGAGGCAGGGAGGGGTTTTGTGCTCGTGCATGTTGCGCTCAGTTTCACGTTCATTCAGATGTACAAAAGAATATGCGTGAGATTCGGCGTACGCAGTGTTTCATACATCTGAAATTTTTTCTGCGTACGCACATTTACAGCTTTGTGCGTACGCAATGTTTTAGTAAGATTTCCACGCAAGTCTTCGTACATGAGGCCCCTGTACTTCATGTCTTTGGACTATGGGGAAACCGGAGCACCCAGAGGAAACCCACCTGAATGCAGGGAGAACATGCAAACTCCACACTGAGGCGAGGATTGAATCAGCGACCCAGCGAACTTCTTGCTGTGAGGCGACAGCACTACCTACTGCGCCAGTTTATATCAATATTATATATTTAATTAAATGAAAATGATAAGTATTTGTTTCTTTTATTGATTAGCTGTAATAAAATATTGCATTTTTATTTAAGATTTCATTTTTCTTTTTAGTAGACATTTCATACATTTTTTTTCAAGAGACAAAAATTATTTTAGACAAATGATTTCATAGTATTTTTATTTAAATTGTGTATGTATGTACAGTTGAAGTCTGAATTATTAGACCCTGAATTATTTTTTCAGCATTTACAATTAAATGTTATATAGGGCGACACGGTGGTTTAGTAGTTAGCACTGTCGCCTCACAGCAAGAAGGTCGCTGGGTCAGTTGGCATTTCTGTGTGGAGTTTACATGTTCTCCCTGTATTCTCGTGGGTTATCTCCATGTGGTCTGGTTTGCCCCACAGTCCAAAGACTTGCGATATTGGTGAATTGAACAAGCTAAATTGGCCATAGTGTGTGAGTGTGAATGATTGTATATGGGTGTTTCCCGGTGTTGAGTTGCGACTGGAAAGGCATCCGCTGTGTAAAACGTATGCTGGATAAGTTGAGGGTTCATTCTGTGGCGACCCCTGTTAATTAAAAAAACTGAGCCAAAGGAAAATGAATATCTGAATAAATGAATAAATGTTACTGTTATAATTATAATTATTATTTTAATAATAATAATAATAATAATAATAATCATATTAATTTAATTGATATTACGTTACTTCATATTAATAATTATTAATAATTAAATTCCACATTTAATTTAATTATACATATTTTTTCTTTATAATATTATATATTTTTATATTTAATCATTTTCATCAGTTTCATTATTAGTAATACAAACAATTTTTATATTAATAAATATTTGTAATATTATTTCACATTCAATTTAATTTTATATTATTGCTTTTTCTTCATACATTTAATTCTTCAAATGTCATTTAAATGTATATTATTTTATTTGACCAAAAAAAGCCTTTTAGTTATAAAAGCTTTTTGCGATCAAGAGTAGTGTTCACAAATATGTCATATATATATATATATATATATATATATATATATATATATATATATATATATATATATATATATATATAAACACACATCACAAATTCTCTAAGTAGTAACTGAAATTAGACTCATATCAAGTAGCAATAAATAAAAATGTTATAATTTTTTTTTATGAAATGCACTTTTCTCCAGTATTACTCCAACATGCTGTACTTGATGCTATAAACGACCCTCATTATTTATGAACATGCAGTAAATCAGTGACATGAGTCCAGTATGCAGTTGAAGTGCAAATGAAATAAAAACTATATGATTTCTCATGTGCTCACATCGCCAGTTCTGTGGTGAATAATTCATCTTTGCATGTCACTAAGAAAAATAAATAGTTTGTCCTTGTAATCTAAAATTTAAATCTGAAAATGCAAGTTTGTTTTCAGTTAGGTTCTCAGATTACGTCTGTCTGAGGTATTGGGTTTGGCTAACATGCTTATCCACGCCCCTCCAAGTATCAGTTTTGACAACAAACAGAAAAGGTGAGAAGGAATTGTCTGTTAGACTGTATTAACTCTCTTAAAACCCTTTCCACGATCTTTCTGAATGAAATGCTTACTTTACTACATCCAATCAGCTCTCAGTAAAAAAAAAGCATGTCAGTGTTTTCCCATTTAATATTCTTTTTTTTTTTTTTTTAAGTTGCAGTTTTCGGTTCATGCAGACTTTAATAAAGGCTAAATATGTCTTCTTGTCCAGCCAGCCTCACACACTTACTCAATGAAGTAGACCATGCCGGTCTCTGTATAGGCCATCTCCCAGTTGTAGGGCAGGGGCTCCAGGCTGTCGTCTCTGGGTAAAGAGCTCCAGGTGCGGATCTCCAGTGTGCCGCTGCCTCCTGCACCGCTGGACTGAGTGTAACTGGGCACTGCTTTCCTCCACTCCTCCGTCCGCTCTGAGAAACAGAAAGGGCACAATGCAAAACTTAGCCAGGAGAACTATTTGCATGTCAAAGTAGGAAGATGTGCAAGCAAGATCTTTTCCTGCTTTAGGTACATGAGAGAAAACTGTAGACCAGGGCTGCAGACTATACAGATGAAGTCTGAAATATTAAATATTTTTTCCCCAATTTCTGTTTAACGGAGAGAAGATTTGTTCAACACATTTCTAAACATAATAGTTTTAATAACTCATTTCTATTAACTGATTTATTTTATCTTTGCCATGATGACAGTAAAAAATTTTTACTAGATATTTATCAAGATACTGGTATTCAACTTAAAGTGACATTTAAAGGCTTAACAGGCAGGTTGGGGTAATTAGGCAAATCCTTGTATAATGATGGTTTGTTTTGTAGACAATCTATATATATATATATATATATATATATATATATATATATATATATATATATATATATATATATATATATATATATATATATATATATATTTATAGTGGGCTAACATTACTGACCCTTAAATGTTTTATGCTTTAATGCTTTTATTCTAGCCGAAATAAAACAAACAAGACTTTCTGCAGAAGAAAAAATATTATAAAAAATACTGTGAAAAATGGCTTGCTCTTTTAAAAAATCATTTGGGAAATATTTGAAAAAGTAAAAAAAATACAGGACATTTTGACTTCAACTGTATTGTTTCAGCACTAATATTGCAATGTGAGAATCTGCAACAGTCACATCGCAAGATCTGCAGTGTTGAGTTGGGATTATAATAACGAGGAATCACATTTCAGAACGTGATTTGTCAATGCTAAATTTAACCCTAAAGAGTAAGAGATTTTAATTTGGATGTGTTTTTAAGACCTGTGTCTAAGGTGTTAAGCCAATTTAAACCAAGAATTTCTAACATTTTTAGATTTAACAAAGATGGAATGTATTTAAATTTTTTATACAATGAAGTCTATAAAGTGTTGTTTTACATTTGATTGATCATGAATTTCTGTTAGAACTGTTAATGCTGTTAAATTCTAAGAAAACCACAAAGCATGTATGTTCAGTTGTTTTTATTCATTCTTTTATTTTATTTTCAGCTTAATCCCTTTATTAATCTGGGGTCGCCACAGCAGAATGAACCGCAAACTTATTCAGCATGTGTTTTACGCAGCGGATGCCCTTACAGCTGCAACCTATCACTGGGAAACATCCGTACACACTCATTCTCACACATACACTATTGACAATTTAGTTTATTCAATCCACCTGTACCGCATGTCTTTGGACTGTATGGGAAAGCAGAGCACCCAGAAATGCCAACTGACCCAGCTCCGGCTCGAACCAGGGACCTTTTTGCTGTGAGGCGATCGTGCTACCCACTGCACTCCTCTGTTGCTTTCCGTTTGCAAATTATTACGTTATGTATTTTGCAGATGTGTTCCTATACAAAATAATCATAAACAATGTAAAATTGTGAATTCTTTCAAGTAGAGTTATTTAAGGTGAAATTATATTTATATTGAAATATGGGTCACAAAAAAAAATAATAAAAATAAAAATCGCAATACGATTTTTCCCCAATATCCAGCAGCTGTAAATACTGTATGTTGCAAAGGGCTCTTTATTCACCCTTCTTAAGGACTGTGGACTGTTGCTGCCCCCTTGTGGAAAGACTGAGTATGTTTAGAATGTTCCAGAAAGTCTACCATACGTGTGTCAGTCGGTAATAGTCTGCAGAGCATGGAGCACATGAGAAACGTCCTCCTTTTCTAGCGGTGTTATTAATTGTGTGCGTGCATCTAAATGTAAGTTTCTTCGTTCCTTAATCATATTTATCATGTTGTTTAAGGGTTATCACCGTGAGATGTTTACTTTGATTATTTAATTACTTTGTCCTGTAAAGTCACCCTAAGAGCCAGTTTTATACTACCTAAATGCATGATTAACATCTGTATATAGTTTATTCTTATTGTTTACATCAAGCGGAAGCATATTTGCCTTTCATTGAGTTTAGTTTAAGGTTATTAGACGATTTAACGAGGTTGCCGTGTAGGCTAAGAAATGCATAGTCATGCTAACGCACGTGATATACTGCGTGACGTCAGAATTGCAAGCGGTCGTGGGTTCGATCCCCGGTTGGACCAAAGTTGAGAAAGTGCTATAATAAGCTATATAAAGTGAAGAATAGTACTTCTAAATATTATCTAATGTCTTTCTACCTATTGTTACTGCTCATTTATTTATTGTTTAAACTAATGTTTACCAAATGTTTATTGTATTTGTATACTGTGGTTGAATGTTAATTATTCTTTGTTTCTACTTGTCTGTAGAACCACACACACACACACCCTCACCCCAACTATATGTCTGCTTATACTAATGGAAATAAACCCAAGTGAGACAACAAGCATCTTCGTCGCGTTTTGATCAGACGTACCACAGTGATTAATTCAACTTAACCACACTATCAGCTACAGTACATTGGTCCTTCGAGCCGGAGTCAGTAATTGCTGTGGATTTAGAAGATGTTTCCAGAACAGAGGATCAGAGAAGGACAAAGGAGTGATGTGCGTCCTAAACGTCGAATACAACATCCAGCCTGGTTAGAGGATTATGAGGTTTCTCTTCCTCAATATAACCAACAATCTCCAGCTGCTCATACATTGCCTCATCAAAACCCACAGGAGCCTTACACTGAAAGGGTAGCCGAGATGACCCCTCTCATTTATCAGCCACAAAGCGATTATGCTTTAAGGGCAGACCAGAGAGTCATTAACCACTCATTACATATGAGGCCAAGATATGAGAGCACACCTGTATCTCAGCCTGTCACACAGGAAGATGTATCGGAGATTTTGAGAACAGTTCAGGAGCTTAGACAAGAAAATCAACAGCTTCAGTTTGTCATGCAAGATATGCAACAGAAAATGAGCTTAAATAGAGCCCCTCCCCTTCAACAAAGAGCAGAGCCCTTGCCATATGACAGAACCCAGTCAAAGGCAAGTCCAGCCCCATTACATGTTAATGATGAATGGCCACTACCACCTCCACCTGTAGTAGATGATGGGTTTCTCCCTTTGGCTGGGGATATACCACCCCCACTTCCGAGACCCATGTCTAATTTTGTGGATGAGTTAACATCTCGACTCAGGAACTTACAAACAAAAGATCATCATCTCTCATGCCCATCAACCCCAGAGTACTGTGAACCTGAGAGTTTCTCTATGGCATTACCTCCACAACAGAGGACACGTGAATACCCAATGTCTAAGTACCCTCAAACAGCACCTATCAGCAGTAAGCCATTCTGTATGGACCATGAACTGCACCCTTATTACCCTCAACAAGAAAGGATGTACAGAGGCCCAAAGCCCACAATCCCTGACTTTACTAAAGGAGACCCACGGGAATTTGCACGACTGAAAGTCTCATTGGACAATCTTTTACCCGAGGATTCTACGGAAAGGTTTAAATATCAAATACTCCTAGAACACTTGAAGTTTGAGGATGCTCTTCTCATTGCAGACTCCTACATCAATTCCAGTAGACCGTATTCAGATACCATGGCCTCTCTCGCAGAACAATATGGGCAGCCCCACCAGCTAGCTTTGAGGCGAATTGCTGACTTAATGGAAGATCCTACCATACGTAGTCAAGATGCTAGTGGATTCAAGAGGTTTGCATTGAAAGTAAGAGCTCTAGTAGGCATGCTGAATCAATTGGGAGATAGTGGCAGAATTGAGCTTCAGTGTGGCTCACATGTAACACGGCTGTTGTCCAAGTTGCCCCATGACTTACGAGCAGATTTCAAACGGTATGTGTACCCCCTAAATGTTCGCATCCCCACTCTGTTACACTTTGCAGACTGGCTTGAATATGAGCTAAAAATACAGGCGAGTGGATTTGAGTTTCTTGGTGGAGACCGAAGGGAACGTCCTGACCAGAGGAGAGACAGGAGTAAAGACTTTAAGTCCACAAAGACAGTAGCTGTATTTCATAGCACAGACCCTGCTTTAAATACTACAGCTCCAGGAGAGTCCAGTTTGAGTGCTGCTAAAACTCAGGACAAACCAAGAATATTTTGCCCCTACTGCACAAATACCCAGCATTATTTGAATCAGTGTCAAAACTTCAGCCAGCTCACCAAAGAACAAAAAACAAACTGGGTGAAAACCAATAAGAGATGCTGGCGTTGTGGTCGAGCTCATCAGGCAGCACAGTGCAATTTAAAGACAAGCTGTAAGGTCTGTAAAGGCAAACATCTCGATGCACTTCATGAGCTGAATGAAAGGCCAGTTTCTGAGAACACTTGTCTTGTCAACAACGCCAATGAAGTTCTATACCTGGACAGACCATTAGGCTGCAGTCAAGTACTGCTAAAGGTTACAAAGGTAATTCTTCGGAATGGGGAACATACCCTCGAGACATATGCCATTTTGGATGATGGCTCAGAACGCACAATCCTTCTGCCAGCGGCCGCCCAGGAACTGAAGTTACAAGGCAAACCAGAAAACCTTGCTCTGAGAACTGTCAGACAGGACATGAAAATCATACATGGTACTACAGTCTCCTTTACCATCTCCCCTGCCTGCCAGCCTCACAAAGTCTTTAAGATACATAGAGCATTTACTGCAGACCATTTGGGGCTCGCTGAACACACATGCCCAGCTACCACCTTACAGCATAAATACAGACACCTCAGGGGACTGCCAATCCTATCCCTTAACAGTGTTCAGCCCCTCCTTCTAATTGGTTCTGACTATCCCTACCTAATTACTCCAATCGAGCCTGTACGCCTGGGGCCTCCGGGCGGACCCGCAGCAGTGAAAACACGACTAGGCTGGACAGTCCAGGGGCCTACTAAGCTTGTGCGGCATCAGCTTTTGACCCAGCAGTGTCTCAATATATCCATCTGTAGCCCTTCTGATGAGCTGTTCAGACACATTGAGAAACTCTGGCAACTAGATGTACTGCCCTACAGAAGTGAGAAACTTGCGACCAGATCTAAGCAAGATCAAGAAGCTGTCGACCTGTTAGAGGCAAAGACAACTAGAATTGATGTCAATGGGACACAACGATATGCCACACCTCTCTTAAGGGTTAAAGACATGCCAAATTTACAAGCTACTAAACAAGCTGTAATGCCGAATCTGCGCAGCACCGAAGCCCGCCTAGCCAAAGATCCAATAAAGTCAGAGGCATACAGAGCTGAAATTCAAAGACTGGAAGAAGCAGGTTATGTGGTTGAAGTACCCGACGAGAAACTATCGAAGAAAGAGGAAGAGTCATGGTTCATTCCCCACCATATGGTGAGCCATAATGCCAAAAACAGAGTTGTATTCAACTGCTCATTCTCATATCAGGGTAAGAACCTAAACAACCTGCTGCTGCCGGGACCAGCTCTGGGGTCCTCATTACTTGGAGTGTTGCTGCGCTTCAGGGAACATGCTGTAGCCTTTAGTAGTGATATAAAGGGGATGTTTCATCAAGTAAGATTACTGCCTGAGGATAAGCCCCTACTCAGGTTCTTATGGCGTGACCTAAAGAGAGAAGAACTCCCCAGAGTCTATGAGTGGCAAGTGCTCCCATTCGGGACTACCTGCAGTCCGTGTTGTGCGACATACGCACTACAAAGGCACATCGTTGACCACAGTCAGCAAGGAGACAATGTCCGCCACTCACTGGAAAGGTGTTTTTACGTAGATAATTGGCTACAGAGTGTTGCAACACCTGACGAAGCTAAAGAGCTGTTAGACACAGGGATGAATCTGTTGGCTGAAGGAGGATTTGAATTGCGTCAGTGGGCATGCAATTTTCCGAATGTCATTGAACATCTGTCAAAGGAAGCCAGATCAGAAAGCAGTGAACGCTGGCTTAACCAAACTGAATCTGATCCTCAAGAACTCGCTTTAGGATTACGATGGATGTGCCAGTCTGATACTCTGGGATACCAAACCCGCCTTGACAACTGTTCCACCCCCACAATGAGAAACATATACAAGGTAGTAGCAAGCCAGTATGACCCTCTTGGATTCCTTGTCCCCTACATCACCCGAGCCAAGATCCTTATACAGAGTCTTTGGGCTAAGCAACGAGAATGGGATGACCCCCTACTGCCAACTGAAATCCTCAAAACATGGCATGATTGGCAAGGGGAACTTCAGCATCTTTCCCAACTGACACTGCCACGCTGCTATGTGAGTTCCCAGTTGGATTCCCTGAACTGTAAGCGACAAGTGCATATCTTTAGTGATGCCTCTGAGCGGGCATACGGATCTGTAGCATACTTGCGCTCAGAGGATCTAAAGGGAAATGTTGAGGTAGCGTTCCTCACAGCCAGGTCAAGAGTAGCCCCTAAACGCCAGTTATCTGTGCCTCGACTGGAACTTTGTGCAGCTCTCACAGGTGCCCAATTGGCTTCACTATTAGCTAAAGAGCTCACTCTACCCATCGAATCCTTTGTACTCTGGACTGATTCTACCACTGTCCTAACATGGCTTCAGTCAGAATCCTGCCGTTACAAAGTATTTGTAGGCACCAGAATTGCCGAAATACAGGAACTTACAAGTGCACATGCCTGGCGTTACGTGGAATCCAACAATAATCCAGCTGATTATATCACTCACGGGAAAACTCTGAAGGAGCTAGCTACAGACAAAACCTGGAGACTAGGACCGGAATATCTGTGGAACTCACCTTGCTACTGGCCTGTTATCCCTGACATAAATGCAAAGGAAAATCCTGTCGAATTAAAGAAGCCCACTTTCTGTAGTCACGTAACAGTCGATGTACAGCCATTGCCTGATCCGCAACAGTTTAGCTGCTTTAAAGCCTTAGTTGAAGCGACAGCACTACTTCTGCACGGGGCGGCAGGTAAAGATGGAGATCTTTCAGCCGTGGATTATCAGTCAGCAGAAAGAAATATCTTACGAAAGGTTCAAATTGACTGCTTCCCTGATGACATCAATGCCCTAGTCGCCGGTAAACCAGTACCATCCTCTAGCCGCCTCATAACATTAGCACCTGAATATGACAGCACAGTTGGGCTTATCCGAGTGGGTGGGAGACTACGCCGCAGTGTTCAATTAGATGCAGATGCTGTTCACCCAATTGTTCTTGATCCATCTCACAAAATTACCCAACTTCTCATTCAGAACATAGACAAAGAGCTTCATCACCCTGGGGCGGAACGGGTCTTTGCAGAGATCCGCCGTAAATATTGGATTTTACGCGGTAGAGAAGCAGTTAAACGGCAACAACACTTATGCCCTGATTGTCAAAGGTGGCGAGCTAAACCAACAGTGCCTCAGATGGCAGATCTCCCACAAGCCAGACTTCAGATTTTCAAACCACCATTCTTCTCTACAGGAATGGACTGTTTTGGCCCCTTTACTGTTAAACTAGGCAGAAGAAGTGAAAAACGTTGGGGCATCTTGTTCAAATGTCTGACAACCCGTGCTGTTCACATCGACCTACTAAGTAGTCTTGATACTGATTCATTTCTGATGTCACTAAGGCGCTTCATATCCCGACGAGGAAAACCTTCAGAGCTATTATCAGATCAAGGCACAAACTTTAAAGGAGGAGAAAGGGAGCTCCAACAGTCATTCACATCAATGTGTCCCACACTGCAGAAAGAGCTTGCTAAACAACAAATTAAATTTCGATTCAACCCTCCCGGTAGTCCCCATTTTGGAGGAGTATGGGAACGCGAGATTAGATCGGTCAAGTCTGCCCTGTATGCCACTGTACAAAGACAAAGCATGACTGAAGAAGTCTTGAACACTGTTCTCACTGAAATAGAAGGAATACTGAATTCAAAACCTCTGGGTTATGTGTCCACGGACATTGCTGACCCCAACCCGGTGACTCCAAACATTCTTCTGATGGGGCGGCTAGACCCTTCACTCCCGCAAACAGTTTACCATGAAACAGAGCTCTTAAGCCGCCGAAGGTGGAGACACTCGCAAGTGCTCGCGGATCAGTTCTGGATGCACTTCACAAAGCACTACCTACCCAGCCTACAAATCCGTGGAAAATGGCAGAGAGAAAGAGACCAATTGCAGCCAGATATGATCGTCATGATTGTGGACCCACAGTTACCTAGAGCCCTCTGGCCTGTAGGCAAGATTATTAATGTTTTCCCCAGTGCGGATGGACGAATCAGAACTGCTGAGGTCAGAATTAGGGACAGAACATATGTCAGACCTGTAGCACGCCTCATTAAGCTACCAGCACTCCCAGACATGGACACAGTTTCGAGCCCTTCTGAATAAGCAAATTTGACTGTGCAAATTTGGGGGCGGCTGTTGCAAAGGGCTCTTTATTCACCCTTCTTAAGGACTGTGGACTGTTGCTGCCCCCTTGTGGAAAGACTGAGTATGTTTAGAATGTTCCAGAAAGTCTACCATACGTGTGTCAGTCGGTAATAGTCTGCAGAGCATGGAGCACATGAGAAACGTCCTCCTTTTCTAGCGGTGTTATTAATTGTGTGCGTGCATCTAAATGTAAGTTTCTTCGTTCCTTAATCATATTTATCATGTTGTTTAAGGGTTATCACCGTGAGATGTTTACTTTGATTATTTAATTACTTTGTCCTGTAAAGTCACCCTAAGAGCCAGTTTTATACTACCTAAATGCATGATTAACATCTGTATATAGTTTATTCTTATTGTTTACATCAAGCGGAAGCATATTTGCCTTTCATTGAGTTTAGTTTAAGGTTATTAGACGATTTAACGAGGTTGCCGTGTAGGCTAAGAAATGCATAGTCATGCTAACGCACGTGATATACTGCGTGACGTCAGAATTGCAAGCGGTCGTGGGTTCGATCCCCGGTTGGACCAAAGTTGAGAAAGTGCTATAATAAGCTATATAAAGTGAAGAATAGTACTTCTAAATATTATCTAATGTCTTTCTACCTATTGTTACTGCTCATTTATTTATTGTTTAAACTAATGTTTACCAAATGTTTATTGTATTTGTATACTGTGGTTGAATGTTAATTATTCTTTGTTTCTACTTGTCTGTAGAACCACACACACACACACCCTCACCCCAACTATATGTCTGCTTATACTAATGGAAATAAACCCAAGTGAGACAACAAGCATCTTCGTCGCGTTTTGATCAGACGTACCACAGTGATTAATTCAACTTAACCACACTATCAGCTACAGTACACTGTATATACAGGATTTGTGACCCTGGACAGTAAGTGTACGTTGAAATTATTGTCATTGAGATTTATACATTAATTTATTTACACATACCATTGATGTATGGTTTGTTAGAATAGGATAATATATGGCTGTGATACAACTATTTGAGGGTGGCATGGTGGCTAAGTGGTTAGTACTGTTGCCTCACAGCAAGAAGGTCACTGGTTTTGGAATTGGATTAACTAAATTGGGTGTGGTGTATGAGTGTGTGTGTGATGCGAGAGTGCATGGGTGTTTGCCAATAGTGGGTTGCAGCTGGAAGTGCATCCGCTGCGTAAAACATATGGCGTAATAGTTGGCAGTTCATTCCACTGTGGTAACCCCTGATAAATAAGAAATTAAGCTGAAGGAAAATGAATGAATGAATGGACAAGTATTTGAGAATGTAATGTTCAAACAAATCTAAACATGGAGTAAATCATCTTTGATGGTTTGAAAATAAAGTGCTTAGAAATGCACAGGAAATCACAAAATGAGGCACAAAACAACCAAACTACAGTGCAACCACTCTCAATAACAACAGCAATATACTGAACCACCTGACATGACAACAAAACACAGACAAACATTTCCCCATGACCCGTGTACTTTAATAGATAACACTGCGGATGCCCCTGTTAGGCAGACACATTCAGAATATAGACTAGCAGTACATACAAGTGTCTGAAGGTGATCTTAAAGATGATTACAGGTTACACAGTGGAAGATATGCACTGCTGCGTACAGTAGAATCACCATTTTTGGACACATATTAAACTAAAGAACCTGTGAGGCAGAATCTTACTTGGATGAGTGTTCCACTGACATGGAAATGAGAGAATATATTTCCATGAGTGTCGAGGCTTTAACAAAGGCTTTCTGAGACTGACGGCATGCTGGATTCAGGCTTTTGTAGAGGAAGATGAAGAGGTGACATTCACTCATGTTTATCAGAATCGCTCGACAGACTCTGGTGGACAGTTTACTCTCATTCCAAGATTCCAAGACACAAGATAAAATATGGTAAACAGTTAAATTATTCCCCCTCCTGTGAATTATTTCTTTCTTTTTCAAGAAATGATGCTTAAAACCATGGTTCGCCAACTAAGGTTGCACATTTTGTCGTTACAAACATAGTTTGTTTATTTGGCGTTTCCCAAACCCATCATTCTGATGAGCATTTGCAATCTGTGTCACAAAATTGTACGCTTAACAACCTGGACAATTCTTATTTTAATGTTGAAGAACTGTGTTTTAACTAAATTCAGCCAACAAAATTTTCACCCAATAAAAGGTGAAAAACCCCTAAAAATAATTATAAAAAACATGTTTGCCTGGGCTCGTCTCATATTTAAACAATTAACAGTTTATAATTTATAGAAACAATTGGACAAATAATTGACTCAAATGAGAATACTCAGATGAAAAACTGTTGCTCTATCCTTCTTACTTTCCTTTTAAACTCTTTTCATATGCACCCTATAACAATAAGATAAAACAGTCAAATGACAAGCGGAGCAAACCATTACAAACAAACACGGGGAATGATTAGAAAAAAAGTATTCAAACTAAACATATCCATTCATTCATTTTCCTTCTGTCTCCTGGTTTATGAGGGGTCACCATAAAGGAATGATGCACCAAATATTCATATGTTTAACACAGTGGATGCCCTTACACCCGCAACCCAGTACTGGGAAACACCCATACTCACATTCACACACACACACACACACACACAGACAGACAGACAGACACACAGACACACAGACACACAGACACACAGACACACACACACACACACACACACACACACACACACACACACACACACACACACACACACACACACACACACACACAGACAGACAGACAGACAGACACACACACACACACACACACACACACACACACACACACACACACACCTAATTCATTTACCAAATCCACTTATGGTGCATGTTTTAAGACTGTGGGAGAAACCAGAGCACACAGAGGAAACCCATGCAAACACAGGGAGAGCATGCAAACTCAACAAAGAAATGCCAACTGACCCAGCTGGAACTCAAACCACCGACCTTCTTGCTGTGAGGAGACAGTACTAATCACTGAGTTTGGGTGTCGTCTTGGGTAGCACACTCTCATTTGAAGGTCACATTAATAATATTACACGTACAGCATATTTCCACCTGCGTAATATCACTCGTCTCCGCGCTTCTCTCACAACTAATAACACAGCCATTCTTATCCACGCATTAGCTACTTCACGTCTAGACGACTGGAATGCACTTCTTTCTGGACTTCCTTCCAAACTTCTCCATAAACTCCAACTGGTTCAGAAAAATGCAGCTCGTGTCATCTCTAGGATCCCATCTCACGAGCATGTCACACCACTCCTCTATCAGCTTCATTGGCTTCCAGTAAAGTATTGAATTTTAAAATATTACTTCTAACTTCCAAGGCACTTCATAATCTCGCTCCTCAATATTTCACTGAACTTCTCCATATCTACACCCCTTCTCGTACCCTTAGATCAGCCAACAACTTCACCCTGGCACCACCTCGCACTCGATTGAGCACAATGGGAGACAGATGTTTTAGCTCTATGGCTCCTCGGCTATGGAACTCACTTCCACTAGATCTTAGGAGCAGTGATAGTCTTCACATTTTTAAATCATGTCTAAAGACCCATCTTTTTAAGCAGGCTTTTACTTAACAATTTTTTATCATGTTTTTATTGTTCTTTTATATACGCTATTGTGTTTTAACTTGTTTGGTCAATGATTGTTTTTAGTAATGTTTAATTTGTTTAGCATGTCTGCTGATGCTTATTGTAAGGCAACCTTGGGTGTCTAGAAAGGCGGCATTTACAAAAAAAAATTAACTATTATTATTATTATTATTACTGAGCCACTGTGCCACCACTAAACATGTTAATATTTGTATTTCGTACATGCATTTGAGCCCTTTAAGGATAAATTGTAATCTTTCAAATTATGGCTCTTACACTATCCATTAAGGTTTATATGATAATTATTTAATAACATTATTTGAATAAATTAATGCATCTTAATAATAGTACTTACATTTCTAATCTGATTTACACAATCCAATTCTGAATAGACTAAATATACATTATTTGATGCAGCATTATAAAAATGTTCAATATTAAAGGCTTTAGAATAGCAATTTACTTCCATAACACTGCAGTAAGAAACAAATCCTTGTAACAGCAGGATTGTACGTGAAAGCAGTAAGTAATTTGCTGCCATTTGCCTCTCTTTAAACACACTTGAACTGGTAAAAGCCTTTAAAGCAAATATGACACTATTGTGCGGCAAGGACACTCCTCATTGAATGACTCTGTTAACATGAGCCAAGGGATTACTTATTTCAGCGAATATTCAACAACTATTCCCTCGCAATAATGATTCACATTCTGTCAAAGCTGTAAAGAACTCAGTACCAGCAGTCCAAATAAGCCCAACAGCTTATATTTAATAGCAATACATATCAGGAAACGACAACAGTGTCAAGGGGCTTTGCTTTTTAAAACATTTAGACTCAAAAACAATGGGCTCAGAGAGGCTTTATAATGTACTGACAAGAAACCATTTATTAAAAATCACAAATGACCATGGTGGTACTACAGTAAATGTAGCATTATCATGGTTTGAGAGTACAAAATAAATTGAAAAATTAGTTAAATTAAACACATTTTCTTACATATTTTAAGTTTAGCTGCTGCATTTAATTTTGTAAGTTGAATCATATTAACTTTACAAGTCATTCAACAACACTGATTTAACACATCAAGTTAAATCTTGCATAATGTCTTCTTTTAATTATGTGAGTAACATGTTTGAATCTATGTATCATATACACTCATCGGCCACTTTATTAGGTACACCTGTCCAACTGCTCGTTAACGCAAATTTCTAATAAGCCAATCACATGGCAGCAGCTCAACTCATGCATTTAGGCATGTAGACATGGTCAGGACAATCTGCTGCAGCTCAAACTGAGCATCAGAATGGGGAAGAAAATTATTTAAGTGACTTTGAATGAGGCAGGATTGTTGGTGCCAGACGGGCTGATCTGAGTATTTCAGAAACTGCTGATCTACTGGGATTTTCACACACAACCATCTCTAGGGTTTACAGAGAATGGTCTAAAAAAAAGAGAAACTATGCAGTTCTGTGGATGTAAATGCCTTGTTAATGCCAGAGGTCAGAGGAGAATGGCCAGACTGGTTCCAACTGATAGAAAGGCTACAGCAACTCAAATAACCATTTGTTACAACCAAGGGATGCAGAAGAGCATCTCTGAACGCTCAACACATCCAACCTTGAGGCGGATGGACTACTAGTTTTAGATATTTTTGGGTCACAGTCCTGCAGTATGATTAATTTTAAAAAGAAACTAATGTAGGAGCACAGCAATAGAAGTGGAATTATTATTATTTATAACAATTGACAGAAAAAAATGTATTTCAGAAACTGTCAAACACAGTCGCTGAAGTAATAAGATTACTAAAATAAAATGAAGTAAATAGCTAAATATACATATTTTAAAAAGGGAAAAAGTACATATACTGAAGAAAGAAAATATTCTAGATGATGTATCATTTAGTACACTTAAAAAAAACTGTAATAATATTATTGGTTGTTTTTTGCTAAATTCATTGTGCTACGCTGTACAAATAAATAAATTTAGCAAGCATTTTCTTTGTGTAAAAGTTTACCGTTATTCAATTATGAGAAAATGGCTAAAGTAAAAACTGCCAATTCAAAATACTAATAAATACTATATTTAAAATATCCATGGTATTGGCATTCAAAAATAATAAGAGAACCCAGGCTCATTATTGATACATACCTCTATATACATTTTTGAAGAGCACCAAATTTGCCCAGGAGCTACGTTTTTTTGCAGTTTTTGTTTTCATGAACAGATTTTAAGATCTTAAATTTCTCCCACGAGTGCCATCTGCGCCTGCTCTTTTCATGTAAATCCAACAAAGGTCACTGTCGACTGACTGACTGACTGACATCCCCATCCACCCCCTTTCCTAAACCCAACCGACTGAGATGTCAAAAGCAATCCAAAAAAAAGAAACGCCCTCCCCTGGTTTATACCACATTTTCAGATCTTACCACGTTCTCACTCTGTTTTTTACTTGTTTATTTTATATTATGCCTTTTGTTTTAGCCACTTTCTAGAACCATTCTTCACTGGACTCAAACCCCATCGTTGACATCAACTCTCTGCCAATGTACATGGCGATCTACAGGGCAAAGTGGTAACAGTGGAAAAGTCGTCCACACAGAGGTAAGAGGTCAGCTGGTAGCGCAAAAAAAAACAGAAGCCGGCGTCTTCGTCATAGGGTTCGCTTTAAAAACAAATGCAACCATATGTAGCTTTGGCTACATATGTGGACTCCAGAAATGTATACAAAATCATGTGTTTTCACAATAAACCTGTGTTGTAATAAGAGGTTGGACCAAAATCCTATAATTTTATATTCCATATTACCACATATACTAATAAACACAAGAACAGTAACCATTCATTCATTCACTTTCTTGTTGGCTTAGTCCCTTTATTAATCCGGGGTCGCCACAGCGGAATGAACCGCCAACTTATCCAGCAAGTTTTTATGCATCGGATGCCCTTCCAGCCGCAACCCATCTCTGGGAAACATCCACACACAGTCATTCACACACACACACACACACACTACGGACAACTTAGCCTACACAATTCACCTGTACTGCATGTCTTTGGACTGGGGGGAAACCGGAGCACCCGGAGGAAACCCACACAAACGCAGGGAGAACATGCAAACTCCACACAGAAACGCCAACTGAGCTGAGGCTCGAACCAGCGACCCAGAAACCTTCTTGCTGTGAGGCGAACGTGCTACCCACTGCGCCACTGCGTCGCCATAGCACAGTAACCAAATGTAAAAAAATAAAACATACCAAAGGTATGTTTAAAAAAACTAAAAGACTGGTGAAATGTACAAATATTTCATCATAGACCTTTAGACCTGCGATGTGCAGACCATTTCAGTTTACTTGATATACAGACTTGATATAATCTGTATGCACCTAAAATTTACTGTCCTTTTTATTATAAGTGGATACATTTTATGTCTTATTATTATAATATTTTTTTTGTTATAACACAAGTATGCACACACACATACACACACACAGACACACACACACACACACACACACACACTAACCTGGGATGCCGTTTGGGAGCTGTGGTCGTTCCTCATCCTCTTCTTCCTCAGGGACAACACTGTCCTTACGGTCCATCTTGCTGACGGATGTAGTTCGCTTTCTTTGAACTTCAGGGCCAAAATCCTCCTCAAACAGAACCTGATCCACCAGATCCGGCTGAACCAAGGTGGGCTCAGCAGGAGGTTTGGGAGTCCCATAAAAATTACCTGAAAAACAAAGATCAAAATGAATTCGTATTCAAGATATCTATTAAATACGTCCTAAACATGAACACTTTGAAACCTTAAAAGTGTAATTCAAGATTCTTGCTACACACTTTTTGATTTAACAAGCAACAAACCTCTATAGTTTTAAAGAAACAGCTGATTCAGAAATATGGAGACAGCAAGCTCTGCTTTTTATTTGCTTGCAGCTTTCTCAAAATGCAGATCTAGGTGTCGACTATCCGATATGCGGTGTGAAATGTTAAACATTTCCATTCGGTGGTGCCTAGAAAGTAATTACACTCACCACTGGATTCAGTAATGAAACTTTTCCCACTATCTTCTCATACAAGAATCAGTTCATTAATATGCATCAGAAACAATGGCACGGCCAATCAGCGGAGCAGCATAATGTATTTAAATGAATTTCTAATTTGGTGGCACACGTCAATGTGTGTGTGTGTTTTGTATGGAGTGAAGGGTTGTGCTTCAGTATTCCCTCTTGATGTAGGACTAAAGAAATCACTCTCTGTATGATTAGATCCAGCCAATGGAAAGACATCTTTTCAAATCAACCGTTCAACCGTCACCAATTATACGCAGATTAATTTAAATCATCCAAATTTGTTGTTTTGTTTGTTCGCTCCCTTCATCCAGCAAATAAATATGCTGCCCCTAGACATCATTAGCGTCTGTTTAAGGGAAAAAAGGAGCCTTTTAAGGTCACACATTCATCTTTCTGCCAATGTAAAACATAATCCTTGTAATCAGTCGAAAGATTAATCCTTTCCCTTTTAGATTGTAAATTCTAAAGAGTTTAATTAGCAAATAGAAATGGAAACCATGTGGGAATAGGCTTTTTCACAAGCAATTAACTACTGTTGACAACTTCGCTCACCTCTCATGAATATGCAGTGATGAATATTCGCTCTCTGTCTCTCTTCATTATTTAAATGAGATGCTGTGTCACGGTGTAAGGAAACTTTGTTTTGTGCTGCTACCATAACATTTGCTGTACGCTATATGCGCCATCAAGCAAAAACGGGATGTTAGTAAGACTACAGTCTCCCTGGGACAGAATATCAGAATAAATATTCTGGTCCTGCACAACATGGCAGGAAGGGTTACTTGAACAATGTTTTAATCCATCAGCCATGGTCGAACTTTGACACTAAAGACTGGAGGTATGATGCTGAAAGTTGAGCTTATTTAAATGTGGGGGTCAAAATTATAAAAAACAATTTATGAATGCATGAATTTATCAGAAAAAAATATATATATCTTCTTTCTACAAAGTTTGATTGTCCTTATTACTTTATACGTACAATCTTTATAACTTTAGTCTTTTTTTAAACATAGAAAACATTGAATAAGCCAGCTTATGTGCTTCTGGTGAACTGTCATGCCATTACAAACTTACCATATTTAAGATGTGGTTTCTTTAAAAATCAATGATCTTCAGTGCTTGGTTGGGATACGATATAAAGTAGATCTCAGACCAGAAGCACTGCATTAAATACCATTGTTCCACTACATGTCTTAAAAATACCACAGTGTTTAAAATGGTGTTTCAGCACTCATCTGCTGCTCCGGATGCCACTAGTGTTAGCTTTTCATATTGTTTCACGTATAAACAACTACAAACTACAAGTCTTTTTAACAGACTATTTTAATTACAGGGCGGCACAGTGGCTCAGTGTCATTTCTGTATGGAAATTGCATGTTCCTCCCTTGTTTGTGTGGGTTTCCCTTCGGGTGCTCTGCTTTCCCCCACAGTTCAAATATATGCGTTGTAAGAGAGTTAGATTAACTAAATTGAGTGTAGTGTTCTGTATGAGTGTGTATGGGTGTTTTCCAGTACTGAGTTGCGACTGGAAGGGCAAGCAAACAAAAACATATGCTGGAATAGTTGGTGGTTAATTCCGCTGTGGAGACCCATGATAAATAAGACACTGAGGCAAAAGGAAAATGAATGAATGAATAAAAAATTTAATTGATTACATCATTCATGATGTAAAAGGAACCTTGTTAAATTAAAAACAGTTTTAGGTTTGGGGTTTATTGATGGCTGAAAAACACTTGCCATGCATATAGCATAAACGAAACAACAATAAACGATATCAACTAAAGGTTGAAGGTTAAATACAGTGTAACATATCTGAAGGTTAAATACAGTGTAAAATATCTGAAGGTTAAATACAGTGTAAAATATCTGAAGGTTAAATACAGTGTAAAATAGCTGTTAATTAACAGTTTCTGTATTTTGTGATTCACAAGTGTTGACCGTTTATTTACAATTGTGAACTGCAATATGGGATCATGATTTCTGCTCTGTCAACTTTTTATGTTGAAGATTCAACTCTACGGTTTAACAAAGAGACTTTTATTGACATTTTATTAGTTTGAAATAATATAATGTATAAGAAATATTATAACAGTAGCAGTTTCTAGCAGTTTATTATAAGGTTTTTGTATCGTAATATACAACACAAACCCAGAAAATATATCACTTTAAACTAGGGCTGCACAAAACATCGTTTCAGCATTGATATTACAATAGTCAAATCACAGAATTTACAATGTTGACTTGACTGTTTTTTTCACCAGGAGCCAGAGTTGCAAAGTATAGCCATAATAGAGTACGAACATATCATATGCTTTTAAGGTCAGTGATTGTGTGAGGATTTCAAAAGGGTTTAAGGCATTCAGTGACGAGAAATGTTTATAGTTTTAAAATAAGGTTTAATGTATGGAATTATTAATATGGGGAAGATTATACAGTGCTATTTTACATTTGATCGTTAAATTTCTGTAGCCGAATACTATTAAGACTCGCAAGAAAATCGTAAAGCACGGTTTATTTCACGTGTATCTTTGATTTGCTGTATTTATGCATGATTAAAATTTGTTTATGAAAAAAAAAACACTTTTCAAGGTTAAAAGTTGTTGAAAGATAGACCAAGGTTCCATAATGCAATTTCAAATCATAAATAAACATAACTACATGATAAAACATAATACAGAAAACTGCAAATTTACGGATGTTTTTTATAGTGTAAAACAAATGACCTTTGCTTTGAATGACGTGAGCACATGGGAGCTATCTGAAAATCTTCTTTAATTTAAAAAAAATCTAATGTATAGAACTCATAAAAATGTGCTTAAACATTGTTGTTTTACACATGTTAGGGTAAGTTCAATTAAAACTAAGCCGTGATTTTGAAATTTGTGCACGTCGTTCTCTATTTTGGATCTCCATTAAAATTCACTCTGGGTTGTTTCAAACCAATTTTGGGTCAAATATATTTAAAAAAACAAACTAAAATTTAAATTATTAAAACTAACCCATTTACAGGGTTTGTGGATAATTAAAACAACCCAGCATTTGTTTGTTAGTTTGTTTGTTTGTTTATTTATTTATTTATTTATTTATTTATTTATTTATTTATTTATTTATTTATTTATTTATTTATTTATTTATTTATTTATTTATTTATTTATTTATTTATTTATTTATTATTTTTGTTTTAGAAAGCAGAAAACCAATTTTATATTGTAGTGATATTGAATTGTGTTACTGTTTTCCTGTAATCCTCATCACCTACTAGGAAATCTGCAACAGAACGTCAGTAGGTAAGTGCTTGGCTAATTAAAGTCTTTGCATTACAGTATAACTCTGATTAATCACCACATATGCACTCAGCTAACCATGATAGAATCATGAAGGTTTGTGCTGCACTCAGTATCTGAGCAGATTTACAGCATCATCTGTCGCCAGTAATCTGCAGAGAGCTGTATAATCCCACAACGAGGTGAACCACGTCCCCAGCGAGCTCCTAATGATGGCAAATATATTTTTGGTGCACATAAAGTGCAGCTATAATATCAAAATAGATCAAAACGAGGAATATGGACAGATTTATAAGCTCCACACAATATAAATCGACCAAATAAGCACCCATATTGCTGATGTTTTATGAACTGCATTGCAATTTTCAGCTAAATCCTTCAAAGAATTTTACTTCACCACATTATTCAAAGTATCTTTTTTATCTTTTTTTTTTTTAATTTCTATTAAAATAAGTACATTTAAACTCGCATCTGGTCTCTGGTATACTGATATAATACATGAAAATATATCACCGGCCACTTTATTAGGTACACCTGTCCAACTGCTTGTTAACGCAAATGTCTAATCAGACAATCACATGGCAGCAACTCAATGCATTTAGGCTTTTAGACTTGGTCAAGATGAACTGCTGCAGTTCAAACCGAGCATCAGAATGGGAAGAAAGGTGATTTAAGTCAGGGGTTCCCAAACTTTTCAGCCTGTGACCCACAAAATAACAATGACAGTGACTTGCGACCCCCAGTATTCTCTGCGTAATGTAAGGTAATGTGCATATTTATTTATCGCATTTATTGTGTATGTTAATACACCCAAAGCGCTTCACAATCATGAAGGGGGTTTGTCTCTCCACACTCCAGCTATAGGTGGAGCGGAGAGACAGGGGTAGAGCCAATTCGGTGGACAGAGATGATTGGGAGGCTATGATGGGTAAGACCGCAAGTTGAGCGTCTCTGCCAGCCATATCTCTAATAGTCATATCTTCGCCCCCTGCTGACCTCACTAACACCACTTTCAACAGCAACCTAGTTTTCCCATGTGGTCTCCCATCCAGGTACTGACCAGGCTCAGCCTTGCTTAGCTTCAGTGAGTAATCGGTCATGGGCTGCAGGGTGATGTGGATGTAAAAACAGGTGGTTATAAAAACAGTGCACACACACCAGTAGACCCAAGGCCCAAATGTTGGTCACTCTGAGACCTTTTACCATATTCAGTCATGACTTTTCTTTTAAATGTATGTGAGTGTCGTAAAGGTGTCAGATAGTTTAACCTGGTGCCAAAAAATCAATCTCCTGCAACTGATGCTATTGCTGTGTCTTTAATGTAATGTAATCACTTCAGGGCTTGCAATCCAACGAAAATAAGTAAATATTTA